ACTTCATCTCCATATGTGTTTTTACTTTATATTTTAATTTTTCTTCTTCTTTCTTTTTTTTAATTATTTTTCATCATTTTTTTGATTTTTTCATCATTGTTATTTTCTCTAACTTTTTTTTTCCAGTTTTTAATAATATCTTGTTTTTACTTTTAAAAAATATATATTTTAATACAGTTTATATCAAATAAATTTAATTCTCATTAATTTGTCACATTCTAAATTTATGAGATTAGTATTAAATTTTATTGATCTAAATTTAAAATATAGTAATAAATGTAACTATGTATTAAATAATTAAGTATTTAAAATATATTTTTTAATTGATGCTGATGTGGACACTCTAGGAGGAGGAAAACTCTCCTATTATATAATAGATTAGAACTTGAGCAATTTGAAGATGAATGACCTATAGAGAATTTATCCCTAATATTGTGAGTGAAAACAAAGCACATGGAATGATCTCGTGTTTCAGGATCAGTAAACAAGTTTTTCGAGCTTTCTAAATTAGCTCTCTGAGGATACGACGAGAAGGTGGAATCCACGGGCCAAAAGCATACGAACTGTGTGACATATTCATATCTTAGCATGTTTAGGATTGCATTTTTAGTTCAAATATTGAGTCTCATACATACATTTAGCTAGTTTTGTTAGAATTTTTCTTTGGTTTTAGCATTGGTTAGGATTTGCATTAGGCCCTAGAGTGTCCTGAATTTTTGGAGTGTTCTCAGGTGATTTGAAATGATTTGGGAGCAACTTGGAGCTGAAACCATGGAGAAACCTTCACCAATGTGCAGCAAGATGGACAAGTGCTTTGGAGCTGACAATACCTCTACAAGATCGCCTGAGATGGAGGACCTGCACTGCTATTCAGCCTCCGGTGTCTCATCAAGATTCAAGAGGGATGAGTCTAGTTTCCAGAAAACTTGGAATCAGACGATTTGGAGCTGTGGAGTTCAAGGGATATGGGATGAAATATGTGGGAAGCATTGGTATCATAGAAGAAGCTCAACCCCTTTCAGCTATGGGGAAGAAGAACGAACCCCAAATCAAACCGGACTTAAGTATGGAGATGGGGATCCCTTTATTAGGGAAGAAGTTTGCTTGATCTCTTAGAGTTGAGCAACAACAAGGGAAATGGTTCAGGATCCAAGGGAAAGAATCCAACATGCACCAAACAATCCACCCTTGGATCTTCTTCTCAAGCCTTAACTTTCACTCCTTGGAAGTTTGATGGTGGAACTGTAGGCTACAAGGTTCAACACAATGGAGGATCACAACCATTTGCTGAGATCAGGGTAGTCCTCACACAAGCAAACATAGATAAGGGATCTAAGGGTGTTCAAGAGCTGATGTATAAGGGCCTCAGGTTTAAATTAAAGGACAAGGGATCTGATGGTGCTCAAGTGCTGATGAGCAAAGAGTTCATGTTTAATTTCAAAGACAAGACAAGGAGCATCAATGCTCCTCTTCTCCCTCACTAAGAAAAGAGTATGAAAAGTCAAACTTAGAGACTTAAAAACAAAGTGCTCTTGGGAGACATTCCCATGTCTATCTTTGTAAATACATTTCCAAGCTTTTATTTTCTGTTTTCTGGGATGTTTTTGATGTGTTTGTTGAGTTTGGTCAGGTTTTTAGGTATTCAAGAAGACTTACCAAGTAGGATGGTGCCCAAGAAATGATAAAGGAGCTAATGATAATGATGATGAATGATCTAATCAGCTCAAGATTCCAAACAAGTCTTAATCTTTCCAAAGCATCAAGACACTAAACCAAACATTGCTCATACCTAATCATCATTAGAGACACAATGAAAAGAATGCATTAGAAATCAATCCCAATATACCATCTAAGCTCAAAACAACATTTCCATGTGAATCAAACAATAGACTCTTGACTTAGCTGGTTCAGGCATTTCATCAAACATCTTTTGAGTGGAGAAATGCCTAAAATCTGGATTTAAGTGATTCTCAGAAACCCAGCATTAAGAATGGCTAAGCAAGAAGAATATGCATAAATCTAGTCTTAAGCAACCTTAATCAAATCCCTAAGCACCCTAACCTACATATCTAGAACCCTAATGAGGTGACTACTCACTAATCATACTTAACTCTCTGATTCCTTTGCAAGAAGAGTAGTTAAGCATGACTAGTTGATAGAGATATGTAGAAGATGAGATTATGAAATAGATAGATGGAATAAACTCAAGAAGTCCTTTGATTAAGAACTCTAAATGGAGATATCTCTCACAAAGTAACCTCTTTCACAAAAGAGGCAAGAAGCTGAAGAGAATAAATGATAAGTCTGGTGGAAAAACCCTAAAACATATTTATACTAAGTCTCATGGTTCAGGGTCAACCCGGGACAAACCAGGTGTTAACCCGGAAAGAAAACACTAAAAAACGCTGACACATTTACATCGGGCATCATTTGGCCGATGTTGTGGCCGATGTTGTTGTGTCCTGAAGTTGTCTTGGAAGTGTAAGCTGACTCCGGGCTGTGTTTGGCTGATGTCCAAGCCGGAGTGAAAAAACAAGTTTCAGCGATAGAGAACGCACCGTGCACTATTTGGCCGATGTTGTGCCTTGTATAAAGTGCAATGGATTTTTCTCGGAGTGGACAAGGGTCTTGAACCCAGGAAGTTGCAACAGAGTGCTTTTGGGCGATGTTCATCTCAGTGTGAAAAACGTTGAGAATTACACCAGGCATGGCATCCGGATGAACTTAGTCGGTGTGGATTTGAAGTGGATTGGTGTAAGTTTTGTCTTACTCCGGCCAGCAACAACCCGGCGTAGACCTCGGTTTCATGTTCAAAGAAATAGACCCTTCGAATATAGCTTACTCCGACCACAATCTTTCCGGTGCTCATCTCGGTGTAGACAAGGACTTCTTCGCACTTAAACCTCTATAACTTTCTGTTCACTGATCCTGAACTCAATTTTCCAGCTCAGGAGAAAGTAAACTCAAGCAGCTCCAACTTTATTGAAGGGACCATATGCATCCGGAGAGAGAAAGGCTTCCGTCTCACCGGTTCTTTGAGCCGAATTGCATAGGTTTTGATTGGCCGCGAGACATGTGCTTCTTCCATCTGCAATATCTCCCAGATCATTACTCCAAATGAGTTTATTTTAAAAGTTTTAGCAAGATGACTCAACTCTCTCAGATCTTTATGAAGTCTCCGGAAACTGTATCAGAAGGGAAGAGATTCGTCCTGGGTGATTTCCGAAGCGTATCAGATCGGTCAAGAATGGAATGCGAGACAGATTCATATTCTGTTGGTCATATCTTTCGGCTCACTACTTTGAATCTATTGATTCCAAGTGTTATGGAACCGTGATTCGATTCTCTTGATTTTTTTTAAAGACACCGGAGGCTAAATCGGATGGGAATGCTTTCCAGTATCGCGATCTTTGAAGCATTTCGACACCTGTGAAATTTGGCTGATGATCATGTTCCGTGGTTCAGGTTTTGGCCGAGTCCTGCTACCCGCGGTAAAGTTTTTGGCCGAGAAAAAAGCGACCTGTGGTACATGTTTGACCGATAAGCTCCAAATGCCTATTTTCATCATTTCTTCACCTTCTTTCACCATTTCTTCCATTGGTTCCATCTTTTCCACTTCAAATAATCTCCCAAGCACCTGAATATCACTCCAAACAAGTAAGACTCCCTTGGACCTAAAACTCTAAAACATAGACAAAACACAAAGAATCTATCTAAAATGCATGCATGAGAATCTATTCTTGGACCAAAAATGCATCATAAACATGCAATGATATGAATATATCACGGTGGTGGTAGGAGCGCTATAACTATATTAAAACTGAACTCAGACTAGTATGGAGTCATGTGAGCTCACACTATCGGGAGTGACAGTGACGTGTCACATTTTTCAGGGTTTTTAAAAATCTTTTTTGAATCGTTCATCATGTTATAGAGTCTTTTTGGTGTTTTAAGTGTCTTTTGAGTTTTTCTTAATGTGTTTGTAGGAGAAATGGGTGAGAAGGATGGAAATCATAGCTAAAACAGATGACAAATCGGGCGCTGGAGCTTGGAGGACATATTACATGGACCCGTGCTGATTCTCGCATGGATCCTACTGGTCATAGAGCCATTACCTTCAATCATGGATCCTACTGGTTATAGAGCCATTACCTTCAATCATTTGGTTTCTGTGAAACATCTTTCCGGTCTTATGAGAGGGAAAAAAATGAGTTTGAAATCGGTCTAAGTGAACTTCACTTTTCTTCCGAAAACTTTGTTATGGGAGTTTTTTTGACTTTTTTCTCAAGTACTGGTTATGTGTTTCTTGGTTTATAATTTCTCTGGATGGACAAGAATCTAAACTCCTTTTACGTTGAACTATTGAACGCAAGTGAAACTGCTGGTTCCAGTACATCAATATAATATGCTTCCAAGTTCGGAGTTCCACGTTATTATATTCGCAGGCTTTGTCTTCGCACCTCTCACTTCGCCATACATTAATAAAGATGCAGATGTGTAGTAAAAGATATGCCTAAAAAGGTTGTTGAACAGCTTGTAGTAATTTCTAGGTTAGTAAGCCTTAGATTTTGCTTGCTGTACCTGTACGCCTTTTCCGTTCTTTAGTTTACTTACAGTGAAAACAATGAGTCCTTGATATGGTTATTTTGTTGTGCACTTGCGATAAGTAGGGTTTATATATAATTTGAATTTTGCCATTGAACAGATTATTGGGTGTTTTTTGGTATGGAATCTTCCTTTTAATTGTTTTCTTTCTCTACCCAATTTTTAAAGAAAAGTTGAGCAATTGAATATATTGAGGAAAAGCAATTTATACAAAAATGTTAAATATGGAAAAAAAAAGTATGCGTGACCACCAAGAGACGGAAATAAGAAAGGTTTTACCGTTGGAATTGGAAACAATTCAATATCATATATAGTTTATTTTACCTATAATCAAAACGTACACTTGTTATTTCTTAAACCCTCTTGCTTTAGCTAAACCCTTCTATCAAGTCAAGATGTTCCGATCTGTCCGTACCGTGTCCCGGTTCAGCAGCAGCTCGAGCGCTCTTGCTCCTCGATTCCTTCTTCTTTGTTGCAATTCTGCCCCGAATACTGCAACTTTCGGTTGTTTTTCAGCTTCTAATTTACGCTTTTTTTCTTCTGACAAGTCAGCACCTGCACCATCTGATGCTGCAGAAAATAAGACAACCTCGGTGGTGAAGAACTTTTTTTTCCCTAGCATCTTTCAACATTGGAAGAAAGAGCTTATTCAGCAAGAGAAAGAAGAATCTGGTGTGGATGAAGCGAAAAACAGAACTCCTTCTGCTATTGATTTGGGTCTTAACTCGGTGGTTAAGGTCTTCACTGTCTCTAGCAAGCCTAGACTTTTTCAACCTTGGCAGATTAGTATGCAGAACGAATGCTCTGGCTCTGGTATGGACAAAAAAATCTTTCATATATTACAAAAAATCACATCAATTTTCTAAGACTTCTTCTAATGGTAATATGTTGTAATAAAGTTGAGTTGCTTAGATATATTTTGTTGTGCATGTGGTAAAAACGAAAACCACAGTTGGAGATGTTTGTTTGATTTACATACTAAGACTAGAATTGTTGCAGGATTTGTAATCTCGGGAAAGAAGATTATTACGAATGCTCATGTAGTGGCTAATCACACATCAGTTAAAGTAAGAAAACATGGTTCATCCACAAAGTACAAAGCAAAAGTTCTAGCGATTGGGCATGAATGTGATTTGGCCATCTTGGAGGTCAATAGCGATGAGTTTTGGAAAGGAATGAACTTCTTGGACCTTGGAGACATACCCAATCTGCAGGAAGAGGTGGCCGTTGTTGGCTATCCTTGCGGTATATGTTTCCTTACTCATGTTTAAGTTTCAGATTATTGTATTGGGTATCAAATGTTTCTAGAAGAAATTAGTAGATATAGAGACAAGAAAGCTATCCGTTAAAGTTTCAGACTATCTTGCTAATGTTTTATGTTACATGCTCAAATGAAGGTGGTGACAGTATATCCGTTACAAAAGGTGTTGTGTCCAGATTTGAGCTGATAGAATATAGTCACAGCTCCACGGAGCTATTGGCAATACAAATAGACGCAGCTATCAACTCTGGAAATAGTGGTGGTCCAGTAATCATGGGAGACAGAGTCGTTGGTGTAGCATTTGAAAGCCTATTTTGGTCTGATGGTATAGGGTGAGTTGAGTTGCAGATTTCAATATTAAAATATGAAATTCTCTATCTATGAACATGATAAATAAGCTTAATTATATTTAAAATTCTATATATTTTTCTTGTCATTACAAACTAAGGTTTTAAATAATCTCTTTTTTTTTTCACGTGCAGCTACATAATTCCAACTACAGTAGTTAAGCATTTTTTGAATGGTGTTGAACAACATGTTAGTTTCGGGTCGGTGAATCTATCATATCAGACGATGGAGAATGCCCAAATCCGTGAATACTATAAGATGAGCGACGAAATGACAGGGATTCTTATAAACGAAATAAACCCGCTCTCCGATGCTCACAAATTCCTGAAAAAAGATGATGTTATTCTCGCGATTGATGGTGTTTCTATAGGAAATGATAGTAAAGGTAATAGTACTACATATATATATAACTATTCTCCATTTTTACCATGTTACTAAATCATCCCCATGTGTCCAGTTCATTTTCGTAAACAGGAAACAATAACTTTCAAGCATTTGGTTTCCATGAAGAAACCATGTGAAACAGCGTTAGTTAAAGTCCTAAGAGAGGGAAAAGAGCATGAGTTTAATATCAGTGTAAAACCTGTAAGTTATCGTTCATTTTTTTAACTAACAGTTTTGTGACATTTCACAAATAAACAATGTTATGGTTATATATTGTACGCAGGTGCAACCACTAGTTCCGACGCAGCATTTCGACAAGCATCGAAGTTATTGTATATACGGAGGGGTTGTACTTGTAGCTCTAACTAAACCATATATTGATAGCTCTTACATTAGCGAAAGTTTTTTGGGAAAGATGCCCAAAAAAGCCGTTGAACAGATCGTAATAATTTCTCAGGTTCGTCCTTTTTTTTTTCTTACACATTTTTTTGACGTTATATTTTCTACTCAAAACAAAATTATTCAGTGAAATTTGGCTTTTAATAGATATATAAGTAAATAAGTAAGAATGTTTTCTTTGTCATTACGGAATTCAGATTTCAAGAATTGTAAGTTTTTCTTCTGGTACAGATCTTAGAGGATGACATCAATGCAGATTACGAAGGTTTTGAAGATTTGCAGGTAATGTGTTTATTCCTTACTTTTTAGTTTCACACTCTAGAGTTACTAGAAGAGAATCTTTAGTCTTACACTCTATTGTTACTAGAAGAGAATCTTTAATCTCACACTTTATAGTTACTAGAAGAGTTTTATCTGAATAAAAAAATAACCGTGGAAACAGGTGAAGAAAGTGAATGGAGTGGAAGTGGATAATCTGAAGCATCTATGTCAGCTCATAGAAGAATGTTGCACCCGGTTTTTGAGGTTGGACTTGGAAAACGAAAAGGTTCTCGTCCTCAATAATAAATCTGCAGAGAAAGCCACATCTAGGATCCTGAAAGATCTCAAAATACCGTCGGCCATGTCCGAGGACCTTCGACCAAAACAGCTTAATAGGGGCCTGAAAAAAAGATTTAATTCCGGCCACTGAGTCAGCCTTTGCTGCAGCTTGATCCCTTCAAGGATAGTAGGATTTTAAAAGCCATTAAATTGAATATGGCTAACTCAATATATATCCACTGTTTGATTTTTGATTTTTGACCTTTTTTTGTTATTACCAATTGAAGTGACATTTTATACTATCTATTCAAGCTAATAAGCTGAGGATTTATCACCGTTATTGTAATAGAAGAACTGGTAAAATGGCTGGTGGAAGAACAAATTTTGGATGTTACTTCCCTTAATTGAGTTCCATTTACAAGAGTCTTGGTCTTTCACTAATGCACTATGCACACGCAAATTCAATTAATGACTTAAAATGAGCCGAAAAATCCTATTACAAAAAGTTTGATGGAAAGATTATAAAAAACACAAATTAAATAGTAGAAATAAGAAAAGCTCATAATTTATAACACAAAATGGAAATAGCAAAGAAGCTAAAATAAAAATAGGAAAAATCATAATTCCTTTAACACGAAAAAGCTCATAGTCCCTAAAAACCAAAAGGAAATAGCAATAAGAAGTAAAAAGATTCCGAAACCGAGTAGAAATAAGGAGGATTGCATCATCAAGCTTCCCGTAAGTAAAGCTTCGAACTTCGTCAGAAACAAATTTTCCGAAACATATAATAGAAAACTGACTTTAATAATTGGAAGTGACCCCAAAAAAAAAGGAAAAGAAAAAATTGAAACAAAGACTCTCTTTATAATCAGTTAGATATGGATACCAAAGTTTTAAGGTCTTCAAACGTTCCAACTAAGTTCAGAATGTTTCTCGGTTCTGTTCATTTCCTAAGTGTTTGTTGCTCTATAAGCAATTTACCTGGAACGCTAACACCGGGAATTGCCAGCTGTTTTCGCGGCTGGTCTTCTGTGAGCGTTTCTAGGGCAGAAAACGCAAAGAATTCTGTTATTGATTTGGCACTGAACTCGGTGGTCAAAGTCTTTTGCCGCTCTAGCAAGCCGAGCGTTTTACAACCTTGGCAAAAAAGGCTGCCGCAACTAAACAATGGCTCTGGTAATCGATAAACATATATGTCACATATCTTTTCTCTTGCGAAATTCTTCTTTTGTATATTCAACATATTCACATGAAGGAATAACGCTTACGTATTGATAACTATAAAATTTAATACTTTATTGGTATGTTAATGTTTATCGAATTCTTCATGTAATCATGCTCTCTTGCTTTTGGTAGTTTTTGCGGATGTTTACCTCAGAAAAACCCTTTTTTAATTATTATTACTAGTTTATCTTTATAAGTTTCTGCTACGTCACGAACCCAATGTGTGTGTGTTTTTTTTCTTTGTATGGTTTAAGTCATGTATTGGCTTGTGATTGATGTAGGTTTTGTAATCTCAAGAAATAAGATTCTTACGAACGCTCACGTAGTGGCTGATCACACATTCGTGCAAGTCAGAAAGCATGGTTCACCAACAAAGTACAAAGCAAAAGTTGAAGCAGTTGGTCATGATTGTGATTTGGCCATTTTGGTAATCGATAACAAAAAAATTTGGAAGGATATGAAGCCCTTGGACCTCGGAGACGTACCTTCTCTCCAAGAAAATGTGTATGTTGTTGGATACCCTCGAGGTAAAATTATATTATCGTTTCGAATATAGGAAAAATAATAGATTTATACCACTCAATGATCATGATTTAATTTTTACTATCAATGTTGGATGATATTTTGGTAAAATATTGTAAAATGTTATTGTGCATGATTCTAATTAAAAAGATGGCTATTGATGTATGTTAATTAAAAAAAAACAAATAGTACTTTTATTTATGTTATAAGCTCACTTGCAGGTGGTGATAACATTTCCATTACCAAAGGTGTAGTCTCTAGAGTGGAAGTTACAAAATATAATCATGGAAAAGCTACGCTAATGACTACACAGATAGATGCGGCTATTAATTCTGGAAATAGCGGTGGTCCGGTATTCATGGAAAACGAAAACAAAGTGGTTGGTGTAGCGTTTCAAGGTCTTTCTAATTTAGAGAATACAGGGTGAGTTGAAACTCTAAATCTTTGAATATTTGGGGGCAAGAGCTTAACTTTTTAAAATATCTTTGGTGATTTTCATATGCAGCTATATTATCCCAACTCCTGTGATTAATCATTTCTTAACTGGTGTTAAAGAAAATGGTCAAATAGTTGGGTTTTGCTCATTGGGTATATCGTGCCTGCATATGGAGAACGCTCTAATCCGTAAATATTTCAAGATGACCCCTAAAATGACAGGGGTTCTCGTAAAAAGAGTAAACCCGTTGTCGAGTTGTCATAATATTCTGAAAAAGGATGACGTTCTTCTCTCAATTGATGGTGTTTCAATAGGAAATGATGAGACAGGTAACTCCTTATTATACAAAACTTTGTTCAACCTGAATTCATGGTGAATATTCCCCATCTTTATGTTTCTTTCAGTTAGTTTTCGGAAGGCGGAAAGAATAAACTTCAGTCATTTGGTTTCCATGAAGAAACCAGGTGAAACAATATCACTAGAAGTCTTAAGAGAAGGGATACAGCATAAATGTAATATCAGTAGAAAACCGGTAAGCTAACTAGCGTCCATTTTTTTTCTTAATGGCATCTTTGTTAACTGATATTTGTGTTTTTTTATTTTAATCGCTTGTTCACATTTTGTCTTATATATTGTATGTAAGTGGAACCGCTGATTCCAATGTATCAATTTGATAAGCTTCCAAGTTATTACATATTTGGGGGTTTTGTCTTTGTGCCGCTTACTCAGCCTTACATTGACTGTTGTTCTGCCAGAAGAAGCAGTGTATTTAGAAATATGCCTAAAAAAGCTGGTGAACAAATCGTCATAATTTCGCAGGTCTGTTTTTCTTTGTAGTTAAACTCGCAACCACAGTACCAATCATTTTCTATTAAGTTCTGTCATGCTGATTTGTTAGTAAGAAAGAGGATAAGTTAGAGCTTCTATTAGATATAACAAACATACTTAAAGAGCCTTTTTTTTGGAGCAGGTGTTAGAGGATGAGACCACTGTAGGATACACCATTTTCGAAAATTCACAGGTAACGTTTGTTCTCAAATCATTTTTGTATTTTTGTGACGTAAGTCCAAGAAGTCCCTTTGAACTTTAGATTTAACAACGGAAACTATGAAAACATAACAATATATTTCCACACTCTTAATGTATACCTTTTCTTACAAAAAGAATCATATTTCTGGTGGAAACAGGTAAAGCAAGTGAACGGAGTGCCAGTGGAGAATCTGAAGCATCTACGTCAGCTCTTAGAGGAATGCTGCACCGAGTATTTGAGACTAGACTTAGAAAAGGATAATACCATCATCGCCAGCTCCAAATCTACGAAAAAAGTCACTGGAAAGATTTTAAAACGTTACGGAATTCCAAATGCCATGTCTAAGGACCTTCAATCTTTGAAAAACCCAAAAACATTGTGATTTTATTACTTTACTGCTTTAGTAGGTTTTCGATATTTCTCCTGTTATAGTCTCTGGATTTTCTTTCTGTCAATTCCTGATAAACAAAGAAAAACACTTGTGATTTAATTAGTGACCGTATATGTTGGAACTATATTTTATAAAACTTGCAAGCTTATAAAATTGTTTATGTGTGAATTGAAATGAGATTTTATGGTCAAGTAGAAAGTCTTATAGAAAAGGAAATAACCTTGTAAAAAAAGAAAAACCTTGTAAAAAAAAAATCACTTATAAAAATAAAAATCTTTATGAATGTAACAAGAAAAAAGAGGGTAGTTGGAAAAATTTTCTACTATGATCTTTTACTATGATCTTCTGCTATAAATACACTAGCATCCTTTGAGAGAAATGCATCCAATCAGAAAGAAAAAACACACAGAAAACAATAGCTTCTAGCAAATCTCTCTCGTCTTAATATAGTGTCTCGAGAGTTATAGCGTACTTATTTCAGTTCGCAGATTCTATTATGAGTTTTGCATAATAGTCTCATCACGGTTTTATCCTGAAATTAGAAAATTGAAATAAACCATCACACATTACGGGCGATTTATTGAGTTAAGAAAAGAGATCAAATCTCGACTCCGTGTTCGTCAATTTTCAAATCGGTTTTCAAAGTCTCGTTTTCATACGCTTTCCTTAAGATATCGTTTATAATTTCATTGATTTACTTCATGATTTCAATTCGGATTTTAGCGCTTAAACAATCTTAACTCAATAAATCCGCTTCTTGCAAAAAATATTTATAAACGGTTTTGAAAACGAGTTTTCAATGTTTGATTTGGACGAATCTGTGAAACGATTTACGTGGTAGCCTCAGACAGGTCCGCGAAACGTTTGTCGAGTTCTAAAAACACCTGTTGGTGAATTCCATGGAAACTCAAAGCGAATTCCTTTCAGAGAACGCTGTTTATAAAACTTAAACGTTTTAATCGCTGATTTGAATATTGATTCTGAATACTAACTTTGGTTATTGTTTGTGAACATATTCAACAATGACTAACGGTGACATCATCTCATGTTGAAAAAACTACCAAACCTCTTAGATTGATTCACACTGATCTGTGCGATTTAAAATATGTACAATCAAGAGGAGATAAAAAGTATTTTGTGACTTTCATAGATGATTGTACAAGATACTGTTACGTGTACTTGCTGCATAGTAAAGATGAAGTCTTGGAAAAATTTAAAGAGTACAAATTCGATATGAAAAACAAATGGAAAAGACCGTCAAAATGGTCAGAAGTGATAGGGGTGGAGAATATGATGGACCTTTCAATGAGTTTCGTCAATCAAACGACATTATCCATCAAACCACAGCCCCTTATTCTCCTGAATCCAATGGAGTTGTTGAAAGAAAGAACATAACTCTAAAAAAAATGATGAATGCAATGTTACAGGAATCTGGGCTACCCTAGAATTTGTGGAGGGAAGCGCTGCTCACCACAAATTATATCCTCAACATAATACCTAATAAGGTAACTGGCCATATGAGCTTTGGAAAACGTAAGGTACCTTCGT